TGGATAATGTAGGTAGGAAAGTTGCTACGTGGAGTGGACTGGTATCATAATGGAGGCTCCCAGGGGCCGCGGGGCCCTTCACCCTCTCCTTATTGGGATGTGTGTTGGCACAGTTCCCCCCCGCTGGCAACCAGCAGGCTGGGGGCCCGGGGCAGGGGGAGGTGAAATGTCAAGAGCAAAATGCAAATTCATGCTGACAAGCGGTGCAGAAAACATGTTCTCTGCGACTCGGGGAACCTTGATATTTCACAAAGTCAAATGAACATGTCAGCCAACACTGCAGGGCAGCTATTGGGTTATTTAAAGAGGAAGTTCAGAAAGCAGGCCGGCGTTACATCACAGGCAGCAGGGACTGTTTACGTGCAGCTCAGCGGACAAGGCTCGCCTTTGTTGTGGTCGTTATCCTCCTTCTCCAGCCTCCCTCTGTCTGTGAACCATCACCGACTCTCAGAGTGAGACACAATGAGGGTGGGCCGATAGGCGGGACACATACTGGTTCACATTAGTCTGTCATCACTGCGGCGCTCTCATCCGCCAGATCCACTGTCAGAACCGGTCCTTGTGTGTTGTCTGTCTCCAGCACAGAGTTCCCAAAAACACCATGTAGCTCCCAGCTCCAGTTTTGATTAGCAGCAGGACAACTTCAAGACTGGAAAAGCAGATTCAACCTCAAACATTATTAATACAGGCTGCTGCTGTTCAATGCTGTTAAAATGGAGATCAGAGAGTGAGGACAATGGAAGTTTCTTATTGTCACTCTACTGTGATAATGTGATTCTGAGTTTCTATATGTGAGTCAGTTGTTGTCAGCTCATGTCTCTTGCATCACCTTGAAAAGAAGCGTGGCTCTGTGCACGGCAACATCAGCCTGTAGGCCAGTCCGCCATTTGGTTCGAGGGTGAAATATCTTTCACACAAAATTGTATACAGACATTTTATTTATTTATATTATTCTATTTGCTTTTGCATATTTAAGTTTTTCCTGTACAAACAGAAAGCTTGGGAGGGACTTGTTGTGGATATTGATGGGTGGGTATCTTCCACGCATTTTTTGTCACTATAGTTCCACTGCAGCTCAGCAAGGAACCAGTCCATGAAAATACAAAGAGGGAATTTTGTACTAAAAAGACAATAATTGGGGCGCCCTGGTATCTCAACTGGTACAGCTCGCACCCCATCTACCAAGGCTGAGACCTTGCTGCAGTCGGCAGGGGTTTAAGTCTGACCTGTGGTCCTTGTCTGAGTGTCGTCCCCTCTCTCTCTACCCCTTTCCTGTCTCTCTTGAGCTGTCCTATCGAATAAAGGCAAAAAGCCACCAAACACAGAATGAGGACTGTGGACTTTTACAAAAAATGACATACATTGTACAGTACACATGGGTATGTGGATGTTGTTTGCAGATAGACTGAAAAAAAGTTCTTACAGGAAGAAACCTTTCCTGTAAGGGGTTTAATTCAATATGTTTGTGCTGTACAGTATGTACCATATGTAAAATACAATATTCATATAAAACATGAGTAAGCCATGCCTGCATGTAATTCATAGCTGAAGATCTGTTTCTTCAGCACAGGATGTCCCGATGACGCACTCCGACTGACGTCTGGGGTCATGCTCCCTTTTGTCTTGAAGTCTGTGGATCGTCGCTGTGCTGATGAGCAGCTCTGTGTACGAGGTCATGCCTCCTGCAGTCGGACATGAAAAATACACTGAGCTGTCGCTGCAACTGAGAATTAGAACATCCAAATGTACGTGGCATTCACAACTGACGCTGTATCAGAGTAAATAGAGCATGCAAGTAGAATATTCTCCATATGCTGCCTATGGCTAACGGGAGTAATTCAGGCTGCTAAAACAGCACAAGGGCCTGAATGCAGTGTCCCACACAAGGACAAAAAAAAAAGTGGTACCCATGTCTGAAAGGCTAACAACCCTGTCTGTGTGAATGTCCCCAAATAGAAGCTAATTGCAACAGGGAGCGGCAGTTTTCGGCTGTTCGGCAAAGTGGCAAGTCCAGACAGAAGAAGACATGTGATGTGACCAAGTGATGTGTCCATGTGAAAAGATCTCTGTCACTGAGCCTACGTGCACATTTGACACAGCCAGCCTCACGTTGGCCTGATAATGTCAATATCATTTCCCTCATCTCCTGTCAGCTCGCTCCTTGTCACTAAGACAGGCTGAAAATGGAGAACTCCCACACTCACTCAATGACAGTGCTGGAGCTGTATAAACAAAGCTCTCAGTGTCAGTAATTCAGGGGTATTCAGACTTTCTCCCCTGCAATCTCCTGCGTCACTGAAATGTTGAATAGTTTAACAAAAGCACTTATTCGCTTTCTTGCCCAGAATTAGATGAGAAGATCAATATCCCATTTGTTAGAGGTGGTATCGATCTTCTCGTCTAACTCTCAGTAAGCGAATGAGTGCTTTGCCAAAATGTTAAACTATTCCTTTAGTCCCAGTTTCTCTTTTTGAGATGAGGGATGAGATTTCACTGGTTCAGGTTCCAGAAAAAGCAAACAACTGATAAATTAACATAACTACTGTTATGCTAAACTGAAAAAAAAAAACATTAAATGCTTTTATTCAGTCAAGTACCTAGCGTGGGTGTGAAAACAAGCAGTGGTTTAATGGATTCACATAGTGGCGTTAAAAGCCTGGGAACTCTGGGAAAGTGTCAAAATTACTCTTGTCATCGTGTGCTGAGGTGCCCTTGATCAAATGCAACCTCCAGTCGCTTCAGTGTAAGTGACTGATTTTACTGGTTAGTTTCTAGATGGAAGTGATCCACATGTGCAAATATAAACCAGAATCAGAATATAAATCTAACCGCTAATGCCCAGTGATCCGGGCCGGAGACAGCACACAGATTGAGAGTGTGTCTTCCTGGTGAGTCATGTGGCTTCAAGAAATCTGCCATCATGTAACCCAGCAACAGCACACGAAGCCAAGGCTGACGGGAAGTAAGAAAATAAGTAAGACCTGTAACCCCCCCACCTCACACTACCTCACCCTCATTCTGTCACACATGTAAATCTGTCCGACCCAGCTTGACACACAGGAGAATAATGCACATGCCAATGCCACAAAAACATGTGCAGCCCTCAGCACCTTCCTCGGACTCGCCCCAAAAAAATTGTGTCGGCGTAATCAGATTAATTCAGGGGCTAATTTGATGCCGGTGAGTGTGCCTGGCTGGCGTCAGTAGCACAGATCCATAACTTATCGAAAGCTGATTAACACATCAATCCTCCTGTGTGTGCCCGCTAAGAACGTGGAGCTGCGTGGCTGTCAGGATTACTTAAGTGTGAACAGAAGACCAAGGCATCCAGACGGGAGAGCTCTGCATTAACTCTCACTCCTGTCATCACAAGCTCTCGTCATAGTGATACCTCAAGTTGGGCTTTACATTTTAAAATACATTGTTGTAATTCATCATATTTCATTAAACTAAAACAGTTTACTGTGTTGGGAATGTGAAAATGCAGAATAGGATATGGTGATATGCAGGAAGACGATCTGGAGGTGGGAGGATCACAGGACTGTCTCAACAGTAGCTACTGTGTTTTGAGAAAACGTTCTTGAACAAGGCACTGAATGTCATTAAAAGGACGCTGCTGCTTCTGATCTTTGACCTTTTCAGTGGAATTTGCACATCTCCAAATGTAATGTCTGTCTTCCAAAACGCAATTTAATCTGAGAGTAAAGCTCTGTTTTGCACGTCGTCAGCTCTCTTGGGAACTCAGATTATATGATGCCTCCCAGTGGTGACTTCTGGCAGTCAGGCGACATACAGAAATGTTCCCTCAATCTGTTAATGAGCTGTGCTTTTTGCCACTGAGCCGAAGAGACAAACTGGGGGGGCTCTGCAGCAGGCCTGTCTCGTGCGGCCGTGGCAGGATGGTAAAAGAGGAGCTGGCGTGATAGTCCCTGACAGCATCACAGTCTTGGCCATGAGCACAAACTGCCTTGCTTACGTAACAGGCCCATTGTTACCGCCTGGTCACTGTCATTATAATCCATGGGAATCGCATTAAATTACATCCCAAACAGCGAGGAGGTTTGATCAAAGCCCAAAAGAAGATGAGATTTAAGAGTTAAGAGTGGAAACACAAGACACATGTTGACACAAATTCTGAGAGACGAAAAGGATCGCAGTCTCATCCCACCACGTAAGTCACGACACTGGGGGCAAGCGGGCACTCTCCAACGAGCAGAGGCGGCACAATGAAGCCAGCTTCTTGTTAACCGCTGGGAACTGCTCAGTTGACAGAACTCTAACACTCCTTCACAGTGCTGACACTTCACCACCTGTTCATAGCACTTCTGCTATCAAAAGGAGTCTCACAGGAAGATTATTTATAGCTGTACATCTGTGAAGAGATTGGGCTTTGAGACAGACACAAGACACACTTCTTTCATCGGTTCACAGTCATTTTGTCTCGTGAACCTCGTCACGCAGTGCTTAATAGTTAAATCAAAGAACAGTTTTCTCTTTTCAGTTTGTTTGATGTGATTCAAGGGGCCAGGGAGGCTAAAAATGAGTCAGCATTTACAACTAATACAGCAAAACCTGTTGAGAAAATAGTTGTGATGAAAGATTAAATAAAAACTATTTTCCAGCCTATAAAAGCCCTCACATTTCTCTTGCAACACACTGATGAATGCAGACACTTAGAGAGGTACTGACATAAAAGTACCAAAAAACCAGTCACTGAAAACATAGTTAAAAATAAGTGATATTTGTCATGTTGTGGTTTGAGTTTTGGCTTACAGTCTCACCCCTCTTTCTCAACTTATTACTGTCCAAGTTCCCTTGAGCAAAGCTCTTAAAAGGATGAGTTCAGGTACTTCCAAATGTGGAATAAAAAGGCCATGTAATATTTCCACTAAGGACTATGAACAATGTGCATTTGGATCCCGTATGACCACACTCCATACCCTAACACTCTCTCTCACTCTCGTGCACGCTGATATAATGATGCAGGTGTTTTCACGCTGTTCAGTTGGAATGATTTATTCATAATCATGATAGCATAATAAAACAATGAACATTGAAAGCACTGACAGTTGAACCCAAGGCCTCTCACACACAGCATGCACCACCCCGACCCCAGCGTTCACAGATACACTGAACATTCCTAACGCCAAGAGACTCCTGGCTTCTCAAAGTCCTCTTTTTTTTTTAACTCTTCGTCCCAGTCAGTTTTTTCCCTGTTCTTTTTTTTTTTTTATCCTTTAAATATATTTTGATATAAAAACAAGCCCACGTATGATGAATCAACCATGTTTGTGAACTGCTTCTCCCCCTTCTCCGGTTATTGTTCTGCCCCGCCCCACACCACCTCCCACTCCTCCGGGCAGTATTAGTTGGAGGACAAACATGATACTGGACCCCAAATCCTCTCTCTTCCTGTTCATGCTCTCTTCATGGACACTTGAAAAAAACAAAAAAACAAACAAAAAAAACAAAACAAAAAAAAACAACAGTCTGATAGGGTGATGGTAGAGGTGGGGGAGACAGCACTAAAAAACGGTTTGATAACCTCCCTGAAAAAAAACAAAAGCAATAAAAAAGATTCCTTAAAAAAAGTAATTAAAAAAAGAAACCACAACAGTCCAATCGAAAGTGCTGGAGTGAAGTCTGGAGCTCTGTAGACTGGAGGCACTTTGGCACAGAGCGAAGGCCCCACACCTGACACCACACCGAGAGGAGGGAGGAAGGAAGGGAGGGAGGGGGAGGGAGGGATAGGAGAAAGGATGGAATGACAGAGAGCTGGGCTGAATTCATGCAGAGCCACGCGGTGATACAGAGATCCAGGAATGATGGAGAGGTAAGGGGAAGAAGAAAGCACCTGACAAACGTGGAGGAAAAGGCCAGCCTCCCCTCCAGTTAATGCCATGTTCGGGAGAGGAGGAGGAGGAGAGGAGGAGGGGAGGAAAACAATAAGAAAGAAATGGGATCTTCAAGGTAGAGGAAGAAGAGAAAGTTGGACCAAGAGAAAGGAGACAAAGAGAGCAGGTGAGCAGCGGCAGGTATAGAAGGAGGAAAGAGCAGTGGCCCATCGAGAGAGGAGGAGTCTGTCTGGCAAAAGCTATACAACACAAACAGGAAAACAGTCCTTGTATGGAAGCAGAGGGCAGCTGGCGGACGTCTGAGGTCAGGGGAGGGGGCACCGTATGGCAGTCCCACAGATCAACAAGCTGGGCAGGCAGGAGGAAGGTGCTGTGGTCCCTCCTCTTCTCCCCTTCCTCCTATTTTACAGCTGTGCTGGGCTGTCTGTCGCCGCCCCCCTCTTCTCCCCTCTTCGCCCCCCGTGGGCTTCCTCTTCACAGGTAGAGCTCCTTGGCTCTGATATGCTGCAGCTTCTCCCTCAGCATGCGGAAGGAGGGCCGCACCGCGGAGTCCAGGGTCCAGCACTGCTTCATCAGGTCGTAAACCACGGGCGGGCAGCCGTCTGGGGCGTCCATCTTGTATCCCTTCTCTACGCGGGGCACCACCTCTTTCAATGGCTGAGAGACAGAGACAGAGCAACGTTGACATGGATTGCATGATGCTGGTCGATATTCAGCCGATACAGCTGACAATGTGAGCCAAGAGGAGTGGTGAGGCACGCAGAAATAATTGAATTCATACTGTACAGTACATATTGGGTCACATTTTCATCACCTGCTCCAGCAGTCTAATGGCACAAATCTAATTATTTTGAGGTCAAGACATTCCACTAATGCTGTACAAAAATAACAAATAAATAAATACTGGTCCCAGCAATGAAGCCTGCCATCTGCTGGTACACCTTGAACCTTGGTGACATTCACAGAAATCTGGTGATCGGGCACTTACAATTCTAGGGTAAGGCACGCGCCCAAAAGAGTAGATCTCCCAAAGTAGGATTCCATAACTCCAGACGTCCGACTTGGTGGAAAATCTCTGTTGGACAAAAAAGAAAAAAAGAGGGGGGGACAGTTCACACATCAAAGAAAAGGTAAGTAAAGAGCTTCCTCTATCTAAACTGGGTCTCGGTCTGTTTGTTTTAGTGCTGTTTCAGGAGTTCAAGTGAGGACACATGAATAATAGGACAATAACCACAATTCTATATTCCAATATTATATCCAATAATATCCAATATTAAAAAAAATCAAATGCATCACCAAATGTATTCTGTGAGTTGAAGTTCCTTGTAAGCATCTGCTCCAAGAAGTGTGTACATGCAGATTAGGAGAAGAAAATGGAGGAGCAGCATGCTGCCTCTTAGTTAAACGGCTGCTATCTAACAAAGCCCAAAGTCCTGAACTGGATTCCAGTGCATCTGAACTGGTTGACAAGTTCCAGGAGTATAAGATTGGATAAAAGCTGTCTGAGCTGTCTATACAAAGCCTGGGCCTCATGCAGGAGGAGACCTCTGCAGAGATGTGGGCTCCTGGTAGAAAACTCCTGAACGATGAACACTGAAGGAATCCTAATTTGGGGAAGCTGACTGCAATAACGGCTATGGTGGTGGAGACAACAACTTCCATGATCCCACACTACTTTACAACGTCATCAAACTTTGTCTTTTGTTATTTTTCGATGTGGGAGACCCCTAGCTGCAGAAATGATATACTGTACGTTTCAGAGATAGTGTTTCATTTGCCAATTTTTTCGTATTTTCTCAATGAATGAAATTCCTGAGTTGTCCAGACCTGTCGAGTACAGAGTCTGCCAGGGGATGGAGAACACTTGTTTGACTTGAGAATCAAAACGCATTAATCTGAATGAATTTAGAGTTTAAATATGATAATGAAAACAACTAATAAATGAAATGTCACCAGCATCACAGCTTTCCAATTTACTGACAGCTGTTTTTTCTTGAGTATGCTAATGATGAAATCTCATGAATGTGCACCTACTGTACTTCTGCACACATGGCTTTTATTATCAAGCGGAAACATTTACAACATGTTTGTGCAGTTAACCGAGTTTGGTGAAGCCCAATGTTTGGTTTTTCTTGATTAATGTGATATCAGAGGAGTCAAACCGGTGAAAACAAATGCCAAGAACGCAAGAACACATCAGCACAGGTGTGTGACCACCTCTTGTCTTCCCCTCTCACCTTCTCTCTTAGTGCTTCGGGGGAGGTCCATTTGACAGGCAGCTTGGCAGTGTCCTGTATGGAGGAGGCCTCCTTAGTGAGGCCGAAGTCGCTGACCTTGGCGATGTTGTCGTCGGACACCAGCACGTTACGAGCTGCCAGGTCTCTGTGGACGAAGTTGTTGGCCTCCAGGTACTCCATGGCTTCACACACATCACTGGGTGACACAGTGAGACAGCAGAGATGATGAGTGAGGACTGCTTGACTAAAGTAATGACAACCTACAGGTGTGCTAAAATAATGAATGCAAAAATGATGGCGAAGGTAGTAGAGAAAACACACAGGCTACATGAGAAAATACTGCACAATACATTACACAAACAGACAATATATTTCCTGCTCTACTTGCTTTATGTTCATGCAGTTAAACTCTAATCCCCGGCACTCTAACAAGTTCACTGAATCATGAAATAAGTACTTGCAGATGCATGTGTATTTATGCCTGCTGATCTGAGTGTTCACACTTATGTAATGGCTGCACTCATTTCAAGTTGTGCTGGGTTACAGCATCAGCTAAATGACTCTTAAATTAAAAAAATAAATAAAGGCACTTGACTTGCAGATAAAGAAGCCATTTATCATTGCAAACAACCTGCAGGATGGTTGCTTGTGTAAACAATTGGTTCTTTTGTGTTCCCAGTCAAGTGTGTGATACAGTTCTTTTGAAATTCTCTTCAGATCCTGACAACTAAAGAGCAGCAGTTTAGCTCTAGACCCTGAGCTGTGCTGATTAAACATTTGCCTTTTTTTACAGTTGTAATAAGTGCTTGAACAGAGATGAAGAGGACTCACAGTGAGAACTTGAGTAAGCAGTCTCCACCGAGCACGGTCCGTCCTCGAGAGCGCAGGTAGTCCACTAGACTGCCCTGTGTGACACAGTACAGATTATTATTAACACAACATGTGGAGGACCGGGAGAATTTGTAGTATGGACGCTTCTAGTGAAGAACAAGTAATGATGTATTCTCAACTGAGCAACATGGGACCACACTATGTTACAAATATGTTTTTACAGCAATTAATTTCGAATTCAAACTTTGTGATGGTTCCAAACAGGACTGAGTGACAGTTTTGTCATCCAAATATCATGTCTTTTCTATATTATCTGTTACTTGTTATTAATTATTTTTAATAAGTTATGTAGGCAATAGATTATACTATATATATTAGGTGGATTAGTAGTAATTTCTTCTTTATATGATAATAAAAGGAATAGTTCCACATGTTTTAGAAATAGGCTTAGTTGCTTTCTGGCACAGACTTAGATGAGAACACCGATATCACTGAAGTACAGTAAAGTAAATATGAAGCTACTGCCAGCAGTTCATTAGCTTAGCTTAGCATAAAACTGGAAACAGATGAAAACATCTAGCTTGGCTCTGTCGAATTATGACAGAAATGTACCTACCAGTATCTCTAATGCTAAAGATAAGACTATAGGAAGCCAAGGAACAGTCCAGTAAATATTCCCAATATAATGGCTTTGGTTTTTGTGCAGATTAAACAAACAAAATGCAATGTTTTAAACTATGTCACTACAACTATAACACTGTTCCCACAGGTTTTTTAAACATGCTAATTCTACCAAAAAGGTTGAATAGTTTTCCATGAGAGGAGACTGAAGAAAACTTGTGTGACAGACCTTAGCCATGTACTCTGTGACAATGTAGAGACTGCCCCTCTCCTCGACAATTACCCCTAGCAACTGCACCAGGTTGTTGTGCCTCAGTTGCCTGTACAAAACAGAACAAAACAGAAACATGTTAGCATGCTGGAAAATATTATGGTGTCTTCTGTGTGTCTTTTTCTTGAAAGATCTAATGGAAAAAAACTGCATGTGATAGAAAAATATATTTTATTTAAACGAGAACGGTGTGTCCGTGTACACACACTCGTATATTTTACAGGTAGCATGAAGGACAGAGCAATAGTTGGAGGATCTTACGTCATGACTGAGGCCTCTGCGATGAAAGCCTGCGCTGTGGCGTCATTTTTGATACACTTGACCGCCACCTTGGTCCCTCTGTAGTCTCCTACCATCACATCTGACAATGACACAGACAATGTGAAGTTTTAGCACAATACTCAAAGCCACCATGGTCTCTGTTGGCTCTGATCTATGAAGTTAAATGATGCAGAGATCCTTGTGAAATCAATTCCTCACCTCCAAACTCCCCTTTGCCAATGGTCTGCAGGAGTTTCAGCTCTTTCCTGTTCAAGGCCCAGCCGCCTACCAAGAGAAGACAGAGAACACTTAGCAGACTTCACAGTCGACGACAATCATGCTGTAAGTTTAATTACATTATCGTAAATCACCCAGAGAAAAGGGTGATAAAAGATGTATATTGTTATCACACATATAACACATTTATATGAAATTGAGGGTAAATTGTTGACATTAAAGAAACAGAACTACGTAACTATTAATAAAAAGTTTCACATATATCTTTTGGTCAGAATTATACTTTCGGGATGATGTATCTCTCATTTGGGAGGAGAAGTGTTAATTTATTTCAAACATTTAGCTCTCCCCAGTTTTCTGGTGTAAGAATTAGCCGGGTCAGATGGGTACATGAAGAGAGGCAGAGGTGGAGGAAGACTCAGATTGACCTTGAGAACTGGCCAGCCCAGCCCTCGTCCCCAGACACACAAAGATGAATTACCCTCTGTTGATTAATGCTATTAGTACTAAGATGATAGAAGACTCTTTAATGGGATGCAGGCCTTGTCTGCATACTGTGCATGTGCCACAGACTTTACGCCTGTAAGGTTTAAGTGACAGTATATAAACACAAGCACAATAATGTCCCAGGGTGCTTTGGTGCCAGTGTCCCTGTAGAGCAGTGTAATGAGCTTGGTGTGTCCTTACTCCTGGAGAACTCGTCTTGCGCTGCCACTGTTCCCTCCATTAACTTGGGTTTAATCAGCCTGGTGCAAAGGCCATCGGCATCTTTGGTGTAATGCTGTGGACAGAGTTAGAGAGGATTCAATGCATTTTCAAAACATAAAAACAAAAGTAAACATGTTTAAGTGTTGGAAAAATAAGAGATATAGAATACTAAAAGATCCAGGTTGTCATTTTATAAGGGGTTTCATCCTTAAAAAGTTCTAGTTTTTAAATGTATCCTCTAAAAGTTCACCTTCATTCTACCATCTTACTATCTGACTGATGTTCAAAGGTTAAATTGGAAGGTTGAGTCTGTATACAAGCTTTTGATTTGTAAAACAAAAGGCTGCTGTTTCCCACTCTCAAAAAAGAACAGGAAGGTAATGAGGAAAAGAAGATTCAGGCTATGTTGGAAGACTTGATGTGAGGGGGCTCCATCTATTTAACATGTACGGGATAGCAGTGGTGTTTGCCTTCACCAAACAGAAAAAGCACGAGAGAACTTTCATCAACATGCATCACTGAGAAAGAGAATCAGAATCATAAACAGGATCTCTCATTTCCATCTGATACAGATTGTTTAGAGAAAACTCATTTTACACACAACACACAACCATGAATAAAATAAACACAATTCACTGAGATGACTGGATCAGTCAGTTGAAATGAGTAAACATCTGCTGACAGTATGTGTATGGCATCTGAATAGTGCTCCAGAGTAGGTCCTATGCTGGGAGGTGTGAAGGTCTGAAGGTCTGGAGCATTTATTGTGGGAACCAGCAGCAGAGGGTTCAATGCAGAATGCAGATGTCCCTTTTTGGTGATATTCTGTTACGTCATCTTAACTCCAAATTTGAGAGACAGAAAAAACGTAGAAAATGTGAATCAGTGTCTTCCTAACAGACAGCTGATATCATCAAACCTCTGTGTGACCACCAAATTAATAAAACAGCAATAGAAGAAGCTACTCCCTATTGTTATACAACTGCAGCACGGCAAACTGACCACAGAGTGTAAATTACCAAAACAACCACCAGGGGGAAGCATGGTGAAGCATGGTCAGCTCCATTACATGATATTCAGCTGACACTTCCACCCTCTATTCAAACATGTAAATACAGAACCACACACAATAGCCTTGAGCTATATCATCTGTTATTATGTACAGTGTTTTCTATATCAGCATTTAAAAAGAACAGTAAAGACAACTTGAATGAATGTTGCATAATTTGTACTGCTTGTTTAAAGCACTTTTAGTACACAATGGTACTGGATAAATCGAGATCTTGCTCATATGTAATTAACACAGAAGGGTGTAATCACAGAGTAAAAATATAAAAGGGGCACTGTAGCTGAAAATGCTTTCACCGTGTTGATACACCATTGTAAATACCATCTTTGTTTCACTGCATACATGTGACTGACAGGCATAAATCACTGTGGATGTAGTGATTGGCAGAAGGAGGCCTTTGGCTGTCTGGGTATACACACTATATGCATAGATATATATATACTATATGTGTGTATGTAGGTCTGTGACAGGCCAATAAGAGCAGGGGAACAGTGAGCAAGCCGGAAAAACACACAAGAATCCAAGGAATCCTTTCACAGGCTATTATAGAGAGAAAGGGAAGACACGGGAGAATGCAGACAGGGGAGAGGATAAAGATATAGAGAGATTGGGAGAGAGAGAGAGACAGAGA